GAAAATTATCAAGAAGCATGCTTTGATAGCCCATAGCATGGTCTGAGTGCAAGTCTCAACAAGGATAATTAACGTTCCAATCTGTTTACCCGCCTGATGCGCTTCGGAAGGCTGTATTGATGCAAAGTTTATGTTTGAGATGACACCGTCGAACACGTAGATACCTACGACACTCATGATATATGTGCACTAGTGTTCAAATTGTCAGCACTTTCAGTATAAACAGCTTCGCTAGGAATGTTTTGATGGCAGCACCTTGGTGACAACATCTCGATTGTAACAGCAGATGTATGAATAAGAAATAGGAGAAACTTTACCAGCGCAAGAACCATAACACCATCATCAGCTCTTAGTTTTGAATATCGGAATCGCGTAAAACTAGACCTCATAATCAGTGCAAATCCACGAGACTAGACGAACCCCTTACAAGCGAGCAGCTGTGACGAGTATAACGACAGCTAACCAAATGAACGCCTCTCTAGTGAGCGACGGTCTCGCAGGGTGAAGACCCATAGCAATCAGGTTCGTATGGCTCTATGCAAAGGTGACAGAACAGATTGTAACGAGCATATTGAGCCAGATACTTTCTGGATGAAGGACCAATGTCCGCTGTACGCTTATTTGACTACATGGTGATAATTGTGGCACTATGTCTCCTTGGTTCAGGAGATATGTCCGGATTGGTAAGGATAGAAAACGGTGATGTTTATGTAGCTTTGTTTACGGCTTGGGGATTGGTGGGTTGTGTATTGTTGATTCTAGCTTACCAAGTTTGAAATGGGAACGAGTACAGCGTTAGTTAAGTTAGCTTGTTTGACGAGCTTGGTTGGAAAAAGTCTCTTAGGAGAACCCCGGATATAATAGCTTAGACCTTTCGAAGATGCACATTCGAGTACAGAGATGGAAGCTTATTTGATTATCTGCTCCCACCATGGGGGCAAATTTGGAGGTTGTAAGAAAAGCTTAATGAGTTGAACGAGGTCATGGTAGATAAAGGAGCAAAGGAAAAGGGGGGATACGATAATTTCCAACACTCTGAGAACAAAATATTGATGAGAGAAACATGTTGCTTGAACAGTTGACGTTGATGGATCGTGAGGTATTGAATGACTCGCTCTTGAAGTCTGATGGTCTGTGAGCCTGTGGCCGAATAATGAATATGCTATGCATGGCGATAGACAGGCAGCAGATGTTCAAAGCCCGATCTAATAGTCCCGAAACTTGGCTCTGTGGACTCTTTCTTTCTTGAAAATGTACATGTCTGAGAATATTTCGTCTGCCAGGGACTCAGGGGCTCGAGTCTCGAGTCTTGGTGGATTGCTGTATGTCTGGGAAATGAGCAGGGGATTATATATATTTTCCATACTATTTCACTCGGGGTAACCGCATCAATATGAATAAACCTTTAAGCTTCAAGCAAAATACCTGTCGTACCAGTAGTCTTTTGTAAGAGGTGGACGACATGAGATGAAGTTGGAGGCTCAAGTCGTGACTCGTGGCGGAAATCCCAACCTCCTCGGGATTCCCTGCCCATCTTTGCCATGGCCCCTTGGTAACACCCATCCACCAAATCATGACGATTACGATGCATCGCATCGCTCTTTTTGCATGCATATTACCAATTGCGGCTCCATAATTAAGTGACAGTAGCATGGCTGACTCGAGATAGTTCGAACGGCTCAATAATGGGCTGGGCATCCAAGGTATCCAAGGTATCCAAGGTATCCCACGTTCTCTTTCCGCTCAAAGATGCTGGTCAGATCTTCACAAGGGCCAACACCACATCAAGATGATGGTTCCAGCGGAGCACCAGCATTAGTCTTCTTCTAGCTATGGATTGCACTTCAAGCAGAAAGAAAAGCTAGGACCAGATAGCCTTGTTGAACCAGACATGGCGTCTCTTCCTTCTCATTATTGCTGAGGACGAGAAAAACATGGGTATGCATCACACTACCATCCATCTCCAAACTGCTTATCGGGTGTCAATCGGCCAGCCGGATAAAGCGCTTGGGCAAGTGAATCAAGGAACCCATTATTCTGGCAAAGATAACGAGGAAACTCGAGACTTGGTTCCAAGAATATGCATGTCCATACCCCGCAGCTCAAGTGCACATTTTGGCCGCATACCGTACTTTAGCATCCACCTGTGAGCTTTGAGTCTTGCTCTTGTCTTTTCCGAAACCAGCCTGGTGAACAAGGTACTTTTGCTTGAGTCCAGTACCGTATGATAGGCTGTTACAACTCAAGTTGCATGAAAGCTCAAGAGCTAAGGTAGGCTTGCTCGTTCAAAAGCAGCGTAGATCGCACAATTCCTGGGCTCACAGCTTTTGGACTCTTTCTGTATCTTCACTGGCCCTTAACCTCTCTTGCTGGGTAATTGCCATTGTAGCTTCACCTTCGAACGCAGGTTTTGTCTATTGTGACTTCAATAAGATCTTGAGCAAAATGATTGAGAGATTGAGTTCCCGAATATTGGCAGTAATCGCATCTGCGGTTCTATTACTCGATAGTGCACAGCATGGGGCGAGAGCTCAGGGAATCACTGGACAGGCAAACGAAACTACGCAATACACAGTCTATGCAACCTGTTAGTTCAATGTTGTAGCTCTTGATCGGTTACTATATACTAATTGAATCAGTCATATATGCAAGAACCGGCGAACGTACACCACAGCTTATACCAGATCAAGAGCTCACGTTGACTTCCTTCGGCGCCCAACAAATGTATAACCTGGTAAGTTTATAGCCCGTTGTGTGCTGGCAAAATCTAAATGTCCTCGAGGGTGGTTTCTTTCGAGATAGATACATTGGAACCGGAATATCGGCTCCTGCATATATGCCCGGCTTGAACACAAATCTCTACAGTGATGATCAAATGAGCGTTTTAGCACCCGACTGGGATTTTACGACCAAGTCAGCACTGGCTTTTATGCAAGCATTCTACCCGCCATATCGTCTAAACTCAAGCGGCGGTGAATTAGATCCTACTGCAATTATGGCGAGCAACAATTACCTGGACTGGCCATCTGGTGGAACACAACTACCTCTCATACAAACATATTCAATTTACTCGCCCGAACGAATCTGGATAGATGGTGAAGACAATTGTCTTAATGGTGATATCTCACGGAGCCTATATTACAACAGCTCAACCTATGTCCAAAATTTCTATCAAAGTCTCGATCTCTACAAGAAAATTGGACCACTATTCGCTGGAACGAATATTGATACCAGCGAATGGTCCTATGGTGAAGGGTGGAGCATCTACGAACTCCTAGAATATGAAAATCGACACAACAGTACTATCGCAGCAGCCTTATCCTCCATTGGTGCATATAACGGATATCTCGAATTGCTTTCCGGACAAGCCAATTCCAAGCTATGGGATCTATATGGCAACACCTCCACAGTCACCAGCACCAATGGTGCATATATATCCAGCCCAATTCTCACCATGGGCGGCCAAACCCTCGCGGCCAAAATCCTCGGCATGCTGCAAAGCAGTATCGAAAACAACGCCTTCGTCAACAAAGTCACCTTCGTCGCTGGCGAATTCTACCCTATGCTCTCCCTCTTCTCCCTCCTCGGTCTAGGAGACTTCAACTCACGATTCCAAGAACTACCACCCTACGGCTCCGCAATAGTCGTAGAAGTCTTTTCGTCCCTAGAAAATCCCCCACCAACTCCCGATCCCAGCAACCTGTACGTCCGCTTCCTCTTCCGCAACGGCAGCGATCCAACCTCCTCCAACGCCGGCAACGTATCGCCTGACCTCGTGGCTTTCCCCATGTTCCACCGTGGCCCCTCCGGCACAGATATGTCCTGGAATGACTTCCAGACCGCGATGCAGAATATTCAGACAGGCAGTGTGCTGGATTGGTGCACACAATGTCAAGCGCAAACTCTCTTCTGTATACCCTTCCTTGACGATTCCTCATCGACCACTGCTTCTGGCAAAAAGCACATATCCCCAGCTGTAGGCGGTGTAATCGGCGCAATCGTCACGCTCGCTATAGCGGGTATCCTAGTCGGCCTCCTGATGCTGTTTGGCGGTCTACGATTCTATAAAAATCCCAAGTCAGGCAAGAAATCTGCGCTAGGAGGTTTCAAGGGCTCTGCGAAATTACACTCTGATGCAGATCTCAATATACCCAAAAATGGAGCACCTATTGGCATTTCTGTTCAAGATGTTGGTACCACGAAGAAGGGACATGAGCGCGTTGGTAGTTGGGAACTTAACCCCTCTGGCGAAGAGAAGGACAATGAGACGTCAGGGGCAGGATTCCATGGGCAGGGTCATCAGCGCTTTACTAGTTTGGGGAGCACAGTTGTAGATAGACCGAGCTTTGAAGAAGATGATGGAGATGATCATATTGGTATGCCGGTTAGACCCAGGGAGAGTGTTTAGATTTTACGCGATACCCTTTTCTTGATATTGTAACACTTTTCGTTGTAAATTTCTGGTTTTGTGCTTAATGGTAGGTATATGCTTGATTGTGTGCGGTTGATGGCATAGGCGTAATCAATGTAATCGATGATATTCATCATAGAGTTATCTTTTGACGTTGCGTATGCTTCTTTGATGGTAAAAGAGTACTGCTGGCATCGACTCGGTAATCGCTGCAGACACAATATGCGAGCTTAACATGCGTTATTAATTTCATAATATACTGCATGAGAGCTTTTCATGAACCTAATAGAAAGCTATGCTTTCAAAAGATCATGTTACCTCTCCATTAATCATTACAAATTCCGCAGTAAATGGAGAATCCTGCAGTAGCCTTTGGTGTTGACGCCAGCAGGTACCTCAACTTAGAGTCGTGAATACTTGGTTACTGACCAAGACTCCACTGGCTGAAAAATATTCAATTACCGTAGTTATTTAGCTCATTACGTTTTTGATAGCATTATCTGGCAAGAATAATGGCTTACAGTCATATATCGCAGCACTGGAGGTTATAATCGAATTTTGGTGAATTTCAAGCTAATTCTTCCACCCATCCGAATTAGTCCAGTGGTTAGGATTCCGGTCTCTCATTTGAGCGACACCGGCGGCCCGGGTTCAATTCCCGGATTCGGAATTTTTTGATCTCTTCTTTTACAAACGGAGAAACATTTATTTTTTTGGATCGTGGATATATGGCGATTAAAGCTTTTTTGAAGGTAAGAGAGAACTTATGTAGACAATACTGAAAAAAAGGTGATACGGAGTATGTGTGGTAGACAGCAAGCCCTAGATACTGTAACGATGTTGTTTGGTTGTATTGTCTAATGCATAGGTACATATCATTATTTTTGAATATGGAGCTGTTTTTGTTAGAAGTTAGGCGTTTCTTAGTAATCTTCTTCATGTGAGGAAGGGGATTCATGTGTTTAGAGCTCAATTATTTTCAAGCATCTACCTATTGACTCTAGGCATGCTTGCGTGACGACGCTACGATGCTTTGCAAAAGAAATCCCAGACATTTCAACAGAAAAGCTTCTTCCTTGGCCATGGTCGGCGGAATGTTAGAGATACATTTTACTTCATCCTTAGTAGCAGTAAAGGCTTGGCTTTCTCCCATGCATCGGCCATCGAGCTATTTGACAGCATAGTTCCCAAAATGCCTCGTTTGTCGAGCCATTGCCTGGAAAGAGGGTCCATTCATTGGTTCACATGTTAAATACGAGGATATAGAGCGTAATAAAGTCAACAGGTTGGAGTAAAAGACCTGGTCATGGTTGTTGGGACGATAGACCCCTAAGCTTTACTGTGCGGTGTATGGGCTGCCCCTTTTACAAGTAAACACTCATGTGGAACATGTACCCACCAATTTCTTCGTTTTCGTTCTTCCTAGCATTACCTTTCCATGACAGTAGTTTCAATGCTGATTCTTTTCCAGAGCCTCTGGCCTCGAAGGCATTGACATGAGCTTTGTCTCATCCAATATGTTCCAGTGACTGTCTTGCGCTTTTCAACGTTTGAACACCAAGTCCATCTTATCAATAGTGTTTTAAGATCACTTATGGGGTAATTGTGTCTCTGTAAAGCACAAAGATAAATCACTCTTGTTTGGTCAATCTATTGACTTCATTCTAGGCACGAATACGATCTCTTAACCTATTCTGAGACCCTTCAGAAACGGATTGTCGCCATCAGCATCCAGGTCACTTGGAATTATAGCATCAAAGCTCATATCCTAAGAAGATCTGCTTGATGGAACATTCCTTCGAACAGTGAAGGTTCATCTGCTGTGTGATTAGGTGGGGGAAAGATTGAATGTTCCAATTGGTACAAACTGTCCTGAAGGCGGGACTTATATAGGTTAGGTAAGTACTCCGTACCTTAGTATGTTAGCAATTGGTTATACAATTGCGAAGTTCCTATCATCATAGAATCTCCATGTGCTATTCACATGAAGCTGAGATACCAAAGAAAGGTCAAATGTATGTACCTACTCCAGAAGTAGTCGCAGCCAAGCTATAAGGCTTATAATAAGGCTGAGAATAAGGCTGAGGGAACCCATTGGCTGTCAGGCAACTAGCTCATCAACTTGATTATGTCAAGGCGCCATCCCCAATACAATTCGATAATGCCAAGACTCAACTGACTTCGCCTCCACCTTCTATTATCTCCAGCGCGAATTTTCCAAAACATGTCAAGGAGGCCGCATGAGAAGAATTAGTGCCATAGACTTTACTCCGTCTATTTCAAATCCTCCAGCTTGGCTATCCTAGGTTTGGCCAAAAAGCTGCAAACTGGACATGAATTCCTCGAGCAATGCCTTAGCCATCAGGAACAACAAGCTTATCAAAAGGACTGAAAGTAGGCATGGGGAATTGAGCACAAGCGAAGAGCTTGCCAACAAACATATTTTGTGCGAACGCTGTCAAGATATATTTGGGCATCTCGACACAGTCAATATTCTGGCATCCAAGGCCGGGCTTCAGTTCAAACGCAAATTACCCAGCATGGTGATATCTGCGCTGGAAGGTTGTTCCATGTGTCGAGAGCTATTATGCATGCCATATCGTAGCAACAAGGTCCCGAGCTATCAAAGAAGAAGCCCAGGATTGCCTGAGACCCAGTGGCCTTTGGCAACGTGGAGGGATTTGACCTCTTCACCAAATTATCTTCCTTCATTTTTAGCACCTACACTCCGTTTTGTTTTACGCGGGAACACTGCTAGCCAGAAACACATCACGGCGACGACTCAATTTGACGACCAGCTGGACTTCGAAATCGCGACGGAACATAGTATGTCTAATCTGTCTCTATCTAAAAGCACATAATGTTGACGTCTTCAGGTGACCTTGCGGCAGAGTATGTACGCGGCCGGTCCGTAGTTCGCAGAAAGAATCTCTACACGTACGAGAGAATCCGAAACTGGCTCGAAGATTGTGATTCAAGTCATGACTGCTGTGAACGTCAGGCTGTCGGCTCAAATATACGCCCTACATTTCTCTTGGACCTCTCTCGTACTAGAAATAGCCGCCATCTTATCAAATTACATAGGGTAAAGGATGAAGATCTCAAGTATGCTGCATTGTCATATTGCTGGGGGCAGGAGTAAGAATCTTCCCGTGCAGACTTATCTAACATGCTCGGACCAGATAAATGGTGCTCCACTGGGATTTTACATTGTTGAGATTCTACAATGTAGCATTTCAATGGAGTGGTGTTTGCTCAAGTCTTATGCTAGCTAACACCTTTCCCTTGTCATATTATTTCTGACAGAAAAACTAGACAGCCTCTTGCATGCTCCACTGCAAATATTGATGTTTATTTGACCCAAATCGAGGTGGTCACACTTCCGAAAAGTATTCGAGACGCAATCTGGGTTACACGAAGACTCAATCTCAGATTTCTCTGGGTGGACTCGCTTTGTGTTCTACAAGATGATGAATATGCAAAAATACACGAGATAGGCAGGATGGAACATATTTACAGCAATGCTCATGTCACAATCTCTGCCGATTGTGCATTGAATTGTATGACAGGCTTTCTCAGTGTACGGAGACCCTTCTATAAGCCAATATCGCTTCCATTTCGTACACCCAACAACACTGTGGGCAATATCAAATTGATATCTGTCGAACAACCTGGACGGTTACCACAGGATAACGAATCTCATGAGAAGCAGCCGATACACAGTCGGGCCTGGACATTTCAAGAAAGTTTCATGTCCCGTCGAATCGTTATTTACAGCGAATACAAGATATTTTGGGTTTGTGCTCGAGCCAGTAGTACGGATGGTGGCAACCAAACATATGTTAATTACTCAACGCCGACCTCAACTGGCTTAAATGTTCAGGTCTTCTCTAGACGAACACTATTATCTCCTACCTACTCTGACTGGTGTCAAGTTGTGGAGGAATTCTGTCGGCGGAAGCTGACGAACCCGGAGGATAAGCTAGCTGCGCTTTCAAGCGTTGCTGGGTACTTTGCAAACTCGTTGAATGACAAGTATTTGGCTGGTCTATGGGAATCAGCACTCCCAAAGCAGCTCTACTGGCACACTACCGATGAGGCATCTACAAGTCCTCGACGGCCTCCGGCCTGGCGCTCCCCCTCTTGGTCTCCTATGTCTGTTGATAGTGCTATATCGTTTGCGCAAGACCAGTCTGGCCACCGAAAATATGCAGAAGAGCCTGATAATATTGCCTTTTGCACAGTACTAGACTCGGATGTAGCACCAGTCCACTCTGATGCGCCCTATGGTCCCGTTGTCTCTGGGAGTATTGAATTACGGTGTCGAGCTCTAAAAATGCATACACCTGAGCCAATTCAGGGCAATGGTAGAGCCTATGGTTATGTTGACGATGAGCATGCTCAAACAAAATTCGTTTTGAAGTATGACACGTTCGAATACAACGAACTGGATTCTACTGCTACGTCCACGCTCCACCTCCGCGTCAATACATCGTACGGTGTACTTGAGCCTAAAGCCGACTTATGGTGTTTGATGTTATTCACCGAAGTGGATGATTGGAATTGCGAGAATGTCTTTGGCCTTGTATTGGCAAAGCTTCCTGATGACAATTACCATAGAGTTGGAACTTTTTTCGGACAACCGGCAGCTGTCGAACTCTTTCATGCACAGCAATATCAAGATGTTACGATCGTCTAGGTCGGGCGTCATCGATATGCAAATTTTGTTCATAAGTTGAATAGTCTCTTCCCTGGTACAAAAATGAACAGTGAGCACAAGGCTGCGCTAATACAAGATATGATCAAAAGTTGAACCAACGCGCGTCTTATCTGTAGGTTACGAACAAAAGGTTCGCGAACTCGCAAGAGGCTGAAAAGGGTATATTCGGAGTAGCCCACGATGGTAATGATAGGATCTAGCCTAGACCAATAGGACATGAGGGAGTAGACGGCAAGGGTAAAAGGCAGAATGAGCTATATGCAATACGTTAGCCATCAAAAAAAACATAAGACACGAAGGACCTACCCAAGATCGTTGTACTCTAGAGCTATTCGAGAAGATTAGGACAAAACCAGCAGCCAAGCCACCTAGCAAAGATATCGATCCCAGCATGAAGCGTAAATACATACTACCTGGCACCATATTCCCCAAGGCTTTAAGTTGTAAGAATCCCGGATACGCATCGCGCTCAATTGCTTGGAAGACATAATCCTTTGCTTGCTCAAAAACCTCCGGATCGTCTCTGTCTTCGCGTTTAATCATATTCGAGACTTCCATCAGCGTGTTTCGTGGAAGAACTATTTCGCGTTCCGCTCCTGGGAGTAGATATGTGTGAAGGATACGTTCTGCTGAAGCTCTCACGGCTTCTCGGTCAACAACTTCCGGCATAACGCTGCTGAGATCTCCAGACGTTATGTTTGATATGGTCAAAGAGCGGGAATCCATACTTCTGACGGAACGAGGACGTATGATGGAAGGTATCTCGTCCAAAGAAGCTGCAACGGGCGGATGGGCTGCGGGCTGATCGGTTGCCGGTTTTTCTGCTGGTAACCCAGAGATACTTGGGTCAATTTCAGCGCTCTCTATTGCATCGCTTGGCGTTATACTAGATGGAGTGCGTGAATCCATAGGGATTTGGCGAAGAAACTGTGAAATGGACCAGTCATAGT